TCGTCCTCTTGATACTTCGAAGGCTCCCTTTACAGTCTTTCAGCAATGAAAGACTTTAGTGTAATTCTTCTTTTTATTTTATGGTATCCTCTGCTGGGCTGTGGCTATCTATTGGTGACCATGCACACTATATTTAAAACACTGTGGCTGTATGTGTTCAGTACAGACATTGTATACTCTGCTATCTTCTTAACATTGTAGACAGGAGCTCTCCCTTACCTACAGGGTAAAAATTAGATGAGAAACACCTTGTTGGGGAAAATTAAACTCTCTGAGTTAGTTTTTATGGAATTTTCTCTTCCCATCTCACCATTTGTGTTCCCCTAGAACACAAAGGGGAAAAGCATAAGAATAATTACTATAAAGGTGACTCTTGTTATAGTTTTCTGAATTTTATTTTGTAAGACAGAGAAGTAAAGTCTGAAAACAAAAGTTTTATGATAATATTTCCTATGTAGAGCTTCTGAGAGTGGGAGACATAGTCTTCCCCAAGGAAGAGCACATACTTGGTTATCTAATACCAAGTGATCAGCCCTGAAAACACACAGACAAGTAACCTGATAAGACTGAGCAAGTTGTATTTAAGAGCATGTATATACATACATATATTCATGTAGCAGAAATGAATGAAAAAAAAAGAAGCCACAAATTTGAAAGAGGATAAGAACAGGTATTGGGAGGGTTTGGAGAGAGTAAAGAAGATTCTAGTTATACTAACATTATACTAACATTAAAATTAAGGAATGGTCTACTTTAACTTTCATGTTTCATTGTCTGAACTCTTAGGAATATATTTTATGCTCATATCCTAATTCTACCAGACATGGTACCTGCTAGTGAAGACTGTTATGAGCACTTTCCCACCAGCCTGGTCCCACAGCTGCATCAGCCCCAAATAACACATAGAGACACTGTATTAATTATGAAACTGTTGGCCTGTTATTAGCATTTCTTATTGGCTAGCTCCGTCTTAAATATTAACTGATTTCTACTAATCTAAGTGTTTTTACAAGTCTTATCTTACTGAAGAGAGGGGTCTGGACCTTTTATCTTACATCCTACATCTTGACTCCTCTCTACTACATCTCCCCAAATTCTCCTAGTCCGACCTATCTTGCTTTCCTATTGGCCAACAGGGCTTTATTCATTAACCAATAAGAGAAACATATTTACAGAATGACATCTCTCATCAGAAGACAGACTAGTAGTTTTAGATCTGTATAATTACTTGATCTGTTAAAAACAAACTAACACAAACAAACAAACAGATTCTGATGAGCAGTGAACCCTATAGTTCCATTGACTTTGTAGTCAGGATATGAGGTCATCAGTATAATGGTCAAATGTAGGAACTGGCAAATGAATGCAGATGAGAAGACAGGGTGACTTGCTGTCTAAACGCTGTTCCATCCTTTCCAGTAGAGAGCTGTCTTGTTTGTCTGTTTACAAACCTACCAGGACACAATACATACATATAAGTGATCATTTTTTCTGTTGGAAACTATTGCTTAAAGAGAGCAACATTTGTTCTAATTACATTGCTAATCATATTTTATAACCTTTTATAATTGTCTACAAACTCATTCCACATATTTTTGAATAACTTTAATGATGATAAATAGTCAAACACTGAAAGTGGATTAGGACCAGATATCTTGATAAAACCCCTGCAGCAAAAGCCTTAGAGTCAGATAGATAAAGAGGTATAAAGGTTGAAAAGAAATTATGAAATAGGAAAGGTTAAAGGAGAGGAAATGGCTGAGTAGAGGAGAGAATACTGGGAGACAGGGGTAACACTAAAGACTTTGAAAAAATCATATGGAAACCCTGCAGAAGCTTTTGTATATATACATAAAAGGACAACATGGAATCTCCCTTTTAGCAGGGCAACAGTACTACAATACACAGCATAGGCTAACAAAAAAGCCAATAGAGCTCATGTCAGTGAGGTTTCAAAGACCTCCAAACATTACAGACGATTGCAAATGCTGCTGGTTACTCTCTAGAACTTGAAGATATGAACATGTTGCTGAAGACACCACACACCTGAGTCTGAGGACAAAGAAATCAAGTTTTTACTGACCCAGTAACTCCCACCCTACTGGATAGTTTTCATAGTGCTAGAAGGTGCTATGTGCACCAAGAGAAGTGAAAAGTATCACCAGTTTTATCCAGCTGTAGACCTTGTGAGATGACTAGATTGATAAGACATGCCCACCAGTGCAGTAGTGACACTAATGTCGTAGGAATAACCAACCACTTTCCAGTTGGATTTAAGATCTGCTCCACAAGATGAGACCTGTACCTGATGCTATCATTAGGTCAAGAACTTTAAGCTAGAGAGGTCATAGATCATAAAAGAGAACTTATTACTATTATTCTGCTAGAAGGACATAGTATTAAGTCAATTCCTAGTGATTTATCAGTATACCCATAAATTAATGGGTCTTTCACCCATAAATTAATGGTTCTCTCATCCCTCATCAGAGAAACTTCTTTTTACAATAGATGGCCAAGGTTCAGAGAATAAGAGAATTCATAATGTCCAGCATTAAAAGAAACATAAACTTCTTCCTTTTTCCCTCCATCCCTCTCTCCATCCTTCCTTCCTTCCTTCCTTCCTTCCTTCCTTCTTTCCTTCCTTCCTTCCCTTTTTCCTTCCTAGACTCAGACATCATGTGAAAGAGGGTAGGAAAGAATGTAAGAACAGGAGGTGGTAGATGAGTACAAGGAAGCATTATCTTCTGAACACAGTGGTATAACTACACATATGTACTCACAGTCCAGTGACAGCATGAGCAAAACCTGCAAAGCTCCAGCAGATCAATTTCCTGCATAGAAAGGGGAGCTGTGCACAGAGTTCTACTGCAAGCTGATGAGCTATTGATAATTGTCAACTGTTGTAAGAAAGAGGGTCAGTTTTTTTCTAACAGTGTAGCCCCTAATAAGTTGACCATGATCTTGTTCTAATGGAAGGCCACACATCCGAGTATATTTGGGCAGTGTAAATTTCTTTTGACAGGAGAAAAAATTACACAAAGTTGACAGAGTAGAGGGAGAGTGAATATGATCAAAACTCAGTATATAATTCTCATAAGAAGTAATAAAACATATAGAAACAGGTTCAGCCTTATGAAATTACCATCTTCCTGGGTAATTTTCAATTGAATACTGACAATTCCGTGTACGCCAATCCAGGAAAAATGTTTGATAACAAAAATTTAAGAGGAATCTCCAAGTTTTGAAATACTGTTGTTTATTTAGATATGGATGCTATTTTGAAGGTGTTGAACTGACAGCTGAAGGTTGTCAAGCAGGCAAGAGTAGGGAAGGATAGGGCTGGGAAAGGCAGAAACAGAAAGTGTACCACTGTTACAAAGCTAAGACTTTTTAAATATCGTATTCTCTAGTATATGATGGATGAGAAAAATTATTTGAAAAAAATAAATGACAATGATATTTGCTAGGGTAGGTAAAAAGTACTCCTTAACCAGAATGCTATTTTTCAGTGGGTTTGAAATTTATATTTACATGGTCTACATGTTAAGGAATTTGTGAGCTTAAAATATAAAATTAGCTTGTCTCACTGCTTTCTGAAAATGGAGGTGTAGCCTACATCGGGGAAGTTACCTTACAGATCACAAATAAACTCAAGATGAAATATTAAAAAGATGCTCTTTGCTGTAGATATAGCTTAGCTGATATAGTACTTGCCAAGCTTGCACAAAGTCCTGGCTTCAATCTCTAGTAGGAGATAAACTCGGCAGCATGGTGGCATGTCTATAATCCTAGCACTTGGAAGGTAAAAGCAGGAATATCAGGAGTCAAAGTCATTTTTGGCTACAAGCAAGTTTAAAGTCAGTCTAAAATACACGAGGCTCCTGCATCACAAAAATATAGAGGATGGTATGAAGTTACTAGAACCATAGGTGGAAATTACAGTGAAGTCTCTACTCACAAGAAGAAAATTATATTTGGTTGGCCTCTAAGTTGTATGTATTTTCTTTCAAGACTGACCATTATTTACTCACTATAAAGTAGTTGAAACTTAGCAAGAATCTAAAGCCTTGTTGATAAAAAGAATTGGAGAAAAACACATTGATGTCACATAAAAGCCGGAATTCAAGGGGAGGAAGGATATTGTAAGTCTCCACAAAGGAGACCCCCAAATGCTGCTTCATAAACCCTCGGTCTCACTTGTACCAAACATCATATACAATAGCTGAGTGGAGACTTTGGCTGCTACTCAGTATCAAGGAGACGGAGTTTAAAGACAAAGCCTAAAGGAAAGGCTGACAGATGGCTCAGGAAGCAAAAGAGCCTGCTACCAAGATGATCAGCTTGATGAGAATCAGCTTTCATTGGAACACCAATGGTAGGAGAGAATTAGTTCCCTGACTTCCACACATGCATCACATCATACACCAAATAAGCAAATATAATGAAAACTTAAAATTAAATGAAAATAGTATTTATAGAATCATAGCAGAATTTTGAGTCTTTTTTTTTTTTTACATATACCATTGCCTCTAGTTCATAATTTTTAGGCATTCAAAGAAGCAAATAGTGTCATTCATATTCAAAGGAAAATATAATTTTTTAGCAACAACTCCAAGGCTTTGCAGATGTTGTAGTTAGCTAACATGAACTCAAGCTGTTGTTAAGGTGAATAAGAAACATGCCACATTCAATCAGTTAAAATTTACAAATTAAGCAAAAGCAAAATAGAAAATAAAGAACAGATGTTAAAAAAATAAATAAAATAAAAACAGACTCCAGCCTTCATCAATACTACACCTTATATTAGAGGCACTGATTTCAAAGGAGACACTGGACAGATTTGAAAGGTGTTTTCATGTCTGAGAATAGCTTACCAAATTATTTAATTACTTTTGTCCCTTAGAAACATTGAGATTTATTTACAGGACTTCTTTGTAAGGTTATCACAGCATTGTGATCAATAAGAAACCTCATATGAGAACTGTTTCATTTATCACTAGGCCCTAGATGAACCAGCCAGGACTGAAAGCAACTCCAAGGCCAGCGTATTAGACCTACCAGTAGAGGTAATGGCTTCGGCTTGCCCTGCTTTGGTATGCAATCCCCAAACTCAATGCTAACCCCGTTCCTGATTTCAATTCTTCCAGTTGTATTTCCCTGCACAGCTCAGGCAGCAAACTGAAGAGCTCTGTGCTACCATTGATAAGGTCTTGCAGGACTCCTTGTCGATGGTAATGCTGTAGAGTAGAATGTGCTATTCAAACCTTTGCTTTGCTTTTCTTTATTTCCCTCTGCCTTGCGATAATGCCTCATAGGCTTGTTCTCTTTCCTTTTGCTTTTTTCTTTTCCAGCATTCTCCTGATTCTCCTTCACGGCCCCCACAGAAAATGTTGGGTTCTGAAACAATCAAAGTATGTATATATTTATTATGTTTACTACACTATTCCATTTCCCACAGAGACGATTTCAAACTGTGATTCAAGGTTCAGTAGTAATAGGAGAAACCAACGCAACAGCTAGTAACCAGAGTGCACACTGGTTTCCATGTGTTTGTTTCCATGTATACAAGTCAGTCTGTCTGCATTGTAAAGTTATTTTTTTAGCTGTGGATCCATTTCAAATTGTGTGGAAACTGATATTTCAGGTTGCTGGATGTTGGCATTTTGTGGATTTACATGTCAAGTTTGTAGCTTATATTAAACTTGAACCTCAGCTTCAGTATTCATGTAATTTACATACACTTAAAAGGTAGAATTGGGATATGAAGTTGACTAACACAACACTCTTGTAGCTTTCATATGGGTGTTAATTCAGTTCTTTCCTTCTTACTGACTGAATTGATTTCACTGTTCTGTGTCTTAAAGAGGCAGAACTGTGGAGATGTTAGCCTGTCGGAGCTGTTCTGTTTTCATTTGCTCCCACAGAGTATACATTAAGGTAATGCTTAATGTAGCTCTATTCATCCCAATTTCAAGATCTATTTTGCTTTTCCTTTATGGGTACCAGTATTTCTGTTATCATTGTCAACCTTGTTTTCTCTTTCAATGAATATAAATGTTTTCAGCATGAACTGTGTACAATGGGACATTGTGTATCTGAAGCAGGTTATGAATGTACAGATTCTCATGACTTAAAAGAGTTCTATTCATTTTCAATTTTTTTAACATTATAGACAAATATTGTGAATAACTAGTGAGATTATGTATTGTTCTTGCTGTTATGATGTTGGAGTTTCAAAAGTAATCTGGATACCACATCTTGTTGGATACTTTGGAAATAATGTTTGCTATTTGGTCTCTCTCTCTCTCTCTCTCTCTCTCTCTCTCTGTGTGAGTGTATATGTGTGTGTGTTATTGAAAATTTCCTTTGCTTCAAGTATTTATTATGTACCCACTATGGGCTTGGGCTGTGAGACATAGAAAGATAAGACAACCCAGGTGGAAATCCCGAGGAGCTTATTACAGTTGTGGAAGCAGACATAGAATTTACTCTGAGATTTGCAGGTGAAAAGAAAGACCAGTGATAATATCTCCAGGCAAAAGAATAGGAATGTATGAATTTCCTGAGGCAACTTGACGTATGTCTGCGAAAATGTTGAAAAATTCAATGTGTTTGAAGTTAGTGAACCAGGGATGAACAGTACAAAATTAGTTTGGGAATATATTTGTCATGGTATGAAATTTGGATCTCAACAAAAAAGAAGGACACAAAAATGCCATTCTGGCTGTGGGAAAGAGGCTTTTGAGTAGGTCTGGGATACAGTTACTGATATTGAACTCTCATCGATAAACAAATGGGCTTGGAGCTTGATAACAATTCAGATATGAGTAATAAAGGAGAGGAGACACAAATGAGCCCTACATGTCTACCCAGGGCAGATGACGGTGAAAAGATAACAGCATAATGGAAGGTAGAGAGTGTGCTAATTTAGATAGTGTTTGTATTTGAGTTGTGGGAATGGAGTCATTGAGTCTGTAGCTAGTGGGAGAGACATGGGTATCACAAACTGTGAACCTTACAGAATTCCAAGGAACAAAACATTATGGGTTGGTGGAGGAGGAGCCAGTCAAACACAGTGAAAATGTTATGTTAAGAGGAGAGTCATAGAAGTAGAGAAATGTGCTGATATGAAAGCTTTTAGAGTGTTTAAGAGACTACAATTGATTATTGCTACCAAGAAGATTTGACTTGTGTATTTTGAAACTATTGCTGGTACTTATAGTTAGATTATTTTCAAATCTAAAATTGTATAACTTACTTCTAGAGTGACCAATTTCAATTTGACTCTGTAAACACTTTGAAAATTGACTGTATATGACATTACTAATTTTTCTATAGGTGTCTAGGAGTGCTTTTCATCTTCTGCATCTTTACTGTTACTATCTATGGCCTTTCATCTAAAGTCTTCAGACTTCTCCCCTAAATTTTGTGTATATTTTTTCGGTAGGTGTATCTGATACCTAGAATATCAATAATAACTGCCAGTACTGGGATTTATCAATGTTATCAAGGTTTCCTCATTATTTTCAGAGTAAGAGGAATGTCCACCTCAAAGTGCAGATGCTCCCCATTGCAAATGTCCTGCACATTGGGAACTCTGAGCTTCATCCTCCTCCACTGCACCTCTGCTCACAGCTCTTTTGTAGTCATTGTCCTGGTTGTCATCACTGAGGGAGAGCTCAGTAAAGGAATAGCAGAAGCTATCAGGCTGTGTGACCATGTGAAAAGCTGCTTACTGTTCTGTAGCCAGCACAAAGTAACATGGTGACACAGTTTACTCCCCAGCCATGCTCCTTTGCTTGCCTTATCCCTGATGTTGCAAAAAAATAATAAAACAGCAGAGACAAAATACCTAAATGCCAGCAGTCAAAATTGTAGAATAAAATAACACCTGTCATTATTTTGAAAACAGACATTGGTTAGTAATGGGGTCAAGGAAGACATTTTTGAGGCTTTGACAACATCACACTATTGTACAAGCAGGTCTTGTGTTAGGCAAATGTTAGGTGCTGGTTATAAAAAAAAAAGAATAAGGATACTGCAGAAAATATTCCCTCTTGACTCAGACATTGATTAAAAGAGAAATGTGTTATTGTCTGATTCCCTCCTCCAGGAAGTAGTTGCTGATGTTGTATTATAACATGGGGCTTTTAAAATGTGACTAGGACATGGGGATTGAGTCTTAATTGATGGGATTATGAAAAAGACCAAAGAGAAACTTCTTACCTCTTCTACCAAGTGAAAAAACAAGAATTTTCAAACTGTGAATGAGAAAACAGGATTTTAGTATACAATGAGCCTATATAAGCCTGTCCACATTCTAGCACCAAGAGAATTAAATGCCTGTTGTTTTTAAGCTACTGGGTCCATTACATTTTGTCTAAGACAGTCAGATATCACTCTTTGATAAGAAAGAGAAAATGGCTTCCACCACTATAGTAGGTAAGAAAATAGAAGACAAAAGTTCAGATGTAAGGATAGTTATATTGGGACTGAGAAAATAGAGAATTTTCTGAAGATACTCATATTTCATAGTAAATACATTTCAATGGTAAGTTTAAAATAAAAAAAAGCACCATATTTGTCTAATTCCTTCTCTGCACTATTTCTTGCTCTCCTCTGCTTTCTCATCTGCCTTTCCCAACTGGCCAACATGAGGGGTGCATAGTGATCAGTCCCTGGTTTCTCATTCTTTAGTATTGTCACACAGCCTTGCAAAAATCACATACATGCTGACAGCTTCAAATGTATGCCTCTGGGCCAGTATTCCTCCCACACCCAATTTTAGATTCCTAACTATTTAGTCTTCATTACACTTCAGACTTACAAAATCTTTCATACTCAACACAGATGAAGATGTAGTCAAAGACTGTTTTTTTTTCTCTCAAGTGATCACACCCACCACTTTTCCATATTTTTAACAGTATTCTTTCATTGGCTTTAGTCCATAAGCTTTACATGAAGGTTTTCTCTTTATGTCATTTTCAACACCTCTTTTTCAGTGTAGTCTCAAAACACCTGTAGAATGTGATTATTTCAAAGTTTTTGTGCTACTAAACAATGCTCATGTTTTGTTGACTAGCACAGTAGCATTATTGTCATGATGGTACCACACTCTACACTGTTTTTAACACACAACACAGAGATACTGTTAAAGTATTTATTCATGATGCATGTCTAAAACCTATGCATTTCCTCCAAGAATATGTCAAAATCCTTATAAGATGCTTTATTATCAGGCTTCTCAACACTGTCATGGTCTGTCCTCCTCTGGAATCCTCTACTTTACATTCAGCCCTAGTAGGCTCTACTATGTCATGAATGCCCCAAACATGCTACCACTTATCGTATATAGTTATCTGATTCCAAAACATGTTGATTTAACAACCAAGACTAACCATCATGAAGAACAAGTATGGTTAGTTCATTCTTCAGGTTCAAATCTGTTCCTGGAAAATCTTGTTCTAACTTCAGAAAGTAGACCCAAGAGAACAAATATTGGGAAATTGCCAAGGCATATGGAATGGGTACAGGTGAAGTTGATGGCCATCTATTGAACATGAAATCAAGTTGTGGTTGAGAGTTTCCATAGAAACATTTTTCTTCTCAGGTACAAGTATGGAGATAAGTGGATCAGAGTGACCATGTAGGGCTTCTGTTCTTGTGTTACAAGTGAATTTTTCACACCAAGAGAGGGAGGCAAAAGAAATGGAAATAGTAAACATAAGATCATTATATATGCAACAAAACTAGAATAAGGTAAATAATTTAGAAAGCCCACTGTAGCATAGCTATTGACAGAGGTTTTAAAGACATGAATGTATGGTTAAAGAGGTAGAGTTCTGAGAGAGTGCCATTTGAAGCTGAAATTTTAGAGAGCTTTCATATAATTCTTGGAAGTAAAGTTGGGTTTGGTCTTCAAAGTAAATGATTGAACTGGGATGAATGTCTTTGGGTGTAAAGGAGCTCAAAGAACAAACAGAACAGAAATTTCTAGTGAATACCGAGACAGCCAAAACTATAGAAGAAATGTGATGAGAAACTATAGGACGCATGGCTACATTATCAACAAATGAGAGGAAATTGCCAGAGTTTTGATAAGTGATTCCTGTGAAGAGAATAATGAAGGGATATTAATTTAATAAAGCAAATTTCAAAGATAAATGGAAATTTGTGCAGGACTCATGATTAGAAAAGTCTCAGTAAAGGAAAAGATGCATTCCTGTATTAAATTCTAAACCTTTCATTATTCACCAATTATTGAGATGCATAATTATTTTTATTTTTATGCAGACTCCTGCAACTCATCCAAGAGCAGCTGGTCGAGAAACCAAATACGTAAGTATCTTTCTAACTGTGTTTGCGACTCTGTGTGTGTTTTAAAGGGAACTTGACTCTATAGCAATTATAATGGAATTTATTCATTTTTTAATAAATGGAAGGGGGTAAGATGCTATGATTGGCCCAGGCTTGGGAAATTAGATCATATCAGTTGTACAGCATCAAATAGCCTTATCAACTGAATTTCTTCTTAAATGAATGATTGTTTAATCCATTTAGCTAAACAAAGCAGGCCTGTATCACCTGCCTTTTGTACCTCCAATTATCAAAGCTTAGATGACATTCACTTTTATAAGCACTGCTTGTGTTTCTAATTTAAATAAAAAATAATAATAAAAGAAATTGCCAACTCATGTGCTTGATATGTCCAGGTTAGTCCACATCTAAAGGAATCATCGGTTTAATTGAATGATCAATTTGTTGCTTTTCTGTGTTTAAATTATCAAGTAGTTCAACATCTGTTAATGAGAAAAACTATACTAGGGAGCTGGAGAGATGCATTAAGGGAGGATAGCCCTGGCTGCTCTGCACAGAACCCTGGTATGTTTTCCAGCACCCACATGGTAGCTTACAACTGACTGTGGCTCCAGTTCCAAAGCAACAGGGTTTTCTTTTCATTTTTTGGCCTCTGACAGGCAACTAGCACTCATATAGGGCACATACATACATGTGAACATATGTATATAAATAAATAAGTCTTAAAGAAGAACAGTACACCAATAGATATGTAGATATGAACTCACATGCTTAATTCAAATGGCGTTGGGTTGACTTAGCACGTTATGCACTCAGAGACTTAACCACTTATCTCCATTATGTCATGATTGTGGTCATCATCTGCTTCTGCGCAAACATATTCTATTATAAATGAGACAGTTTCCTAGCAAGTATTGAGCATTTAGCCTAAAACAAACCATTAAACTATGCCTTTTACAGCTCACGCTGTTTTCTCTAATCTGTACTTTTCATCATTATCAACGATAAATAGTTATTGAATGTGTATTGTGTGTCATGCCATCATCACACTTCACACCTTTCTGCCTTCATTTGGATCTCTCCAAGGCAAACAATAAGCTCAGTGAAATTATTAAATTTTATCATATTCGGGAAATGATGTTTACGGGATGTGTCAGGAACATGGTTCAGAGCATTTCCTGGACGCGTTTTCTGTTAGTTTTCATTATTATTGGAAGTCCTCTGGAGGAATGCTCTGAAGGACTGGAGGCATTGGTAGGCTAGGCCCTGGTGGGAACTGCTGTTTCTGAGGAAGGTCATTTAACATTATTTTACCATGCCTCCATTTTCATTCACGAGATAGGGGATCGTGGTAGCATTCTTATTTGATTAATTTAAGATTGATATAGTCCTTATGTATGTAAAAAGCCTTTAAAGCAGTCTCAACACACTGGAGTTACTCATAAATCATAGCCCCTTTCTGTCTCTCCCTTTTGTTTATGCATTTATCAACATCTCTTCCCTTCTCTTGTGTCTAGTGTACTAGATGCCTCATGATTTAGGTTTCTTGTTTAGAAATATTTTATACATTTCTATAGTGTGACTTATGGATTCTGTTGTCATAAGGACTGGTCCCAAGAAAAAGCACCTAACTTCTCTTTCTCAATACCTTTTGTTTTTCTTCAATTGCTGAAGTTTCACAAATAGTTCCTGATTAGCTAACACCCTCCCCTCCCCAGGGGGAGGTATCACAATGTAATAACAGCTGTAATAGTTCCAGAGGGGCTGCTCCAACTGCCATACATTATTTTAAATTATTCTTTTATGATTTGTATTTATTTATTTATATATTTGTGTGTGTGTGTGTGTGTGTGTGTGTGTGTGTGTGTGTGTGTGTGTGTGTAATGCCTGCACTTGTGTGGGTATGGAGACAGAAGTTGACATCAATTCAATGACTTTCCATTTTATTTATCAAATCAGGGACTCCCTGGGAGTATGACACTTTTGCTACTGCAGGTAGCCAGCTGGATCCAGGATACTGTCTCCTGAATGCTTAGGTTATCAGTGGCTTGCCTTGTGGGGGTACAGGTGCGGTGTAGGGTCTTCAGGTTTGCACATTCATCATTTTACCCACTAAGCCATTTATCCAGGCTCATAAAAGTTACTTTTTTTTATTAGATCTGATCAAAGGAGTCTCTTTTTAATTCCCATAGCTTTTGAGAGCAGTTGAGTCATTTTAAGTTAACTGTGAATCATTGAACAAATTCAGGATTAGATTAAAACAAACAAACTTTAATTCTACTAAGGATTTTGACCTTAATTAAAGTTTGTTCCTTGAGCAAGAAACTCTGCCTTTTACTTTCTGTTACACATAACATTTGAATTGTGTGTGGCATCTCAAATAGATATGTAAGATATGTCTTTTGGAAGAGGGCATCTTATAATGGCAGATAAAACCAGTTTTTTGTTTTTGTTTTTGTTTTTGTTTTTTTTTGGTGTCAACATATAGACAACTCACACTTACCAACACACAGCTGCAGTTACTGTAATTACTAAGTGGCAGCTGATGCATTTACTCTGAGAAGAAAATAACACAATTTTAAGACAGAAGTTCAGTTTAGTTTAGGCTGTCCTTTTATGTCAACCATTTGTCTTAAATACAATATATTTTGACTTTTAAAAAATGAGCAAGGCAATAATTCATTTTAGAAATTCTGATATAATGAATGAAACGCATGAAGTTTTATCGAAGTACAAATTTTGAATAATTTTTATTTTATCAAATTCTGATTTTATTCCCTCCCCATGTCCTGTCAGAGGAACTTTTAGAAGTCTGTAGACTAACATTTTAGTACTTCACTCACCTGGGGAAATATGCGGAGCCTCCAGGTTTCATTAACTATTTAAGAGAGTCCTAGATTTAGTTCAAAAGCAGGGGCCATGTAGTTAACCAGGGCAAATGGAGTTCTTAGTTGGTCTAATTAATAAAACACTGGAGTCATATATAGAGGAAAATGCTGAGAGATCAGAGAGAAGGAGAAAGCCAAAGCCACTTTTACCTCCTTAGTTGCTCAGCAGAAAAGAGAGCCAGTTCTTGTTTCTTTCCACTTATACGCTCCCTTTGTCAAGCCATTTCACTTCCTGTCTGTCTGTACAGACCCCCAGACTTCTATGGTTAGCTAGTGGCAAGCACCGCCGTCTGATCTTCATGCAAACTTTATTTGTACAAGCAAAATATCACTACACACAATTCCATGTACCACAGAGTGGGCAGAATAAGGGAATGATTAAAGTGAAGAAGAGTATCATGATCAATGACACATTCGTTTAGATTAACCAAAGTTTTAGTATTGCTTCTCCCCAGTTATGCCTGAATTAAAGGGTATTTTGAAGAATTTAGCTGAGATATGCTTAAACATAGTAGAAATTAAATAGGAATGACAGCATATTGAAATGCAGTATTTGGTATTTTGTACTATCAAATAGAATGGTTTAAACAGACACTAAATTCAGCAGTAATAGCTAGTAGCAAACAAATTTTATCTAGTTCATTTAAACCATCCATGAGTCCTGTGGGGTCAGTTTTATTATTACAAAATTCCCGGTACCACCCCCTCTTCTTCTTAAGGTGCTGGGAGTTGAACCCAGGCACTTAATATGGTAGACCACTGCTCTACCACTCAGGTGCATCCTAGCCTTCATTCTGCGACAATTTCATTCCTCTGTGTAAAATAATAAGTTTTATATTAAAATACTGTTTCAGCTTTCATTCAGTCTCTTGGATTTTCAAGAAAAATTTTCTCTGCTTTGCATTTGCCTTTATTATTTTTATAAACCATTACCTGTATAAATCTACTCATTCATGTAATTTAACAATCACAGCATGCATTCTTGGTAAAATTTAATCTTAGAAAATGAAATATTTGTGCTTTGAATGAGTTTATCAGAAACTTTTGGTTTTGGGGTAACATGCTATTTGATAGTAACTTATTTCATGAACTTTTAGTATTTCATGAATTACTTTTTACGTTCCATAAAAATGGTACAGCCTTATTAAGTATATGGTAGTTTATAGGTAAAATCTCATTTTAATGAGCTCAAAGGACAGAAAAATGTCATTAAGGTGGGAGAATATTGATTCCTAAATATCACAATATATTGAAAAATGTGTCAAACCTTACTAAAAATATTTTCCACTTTATACACGGATATTCAAATAAAGGTCATCTTCTCTCATTTATGCAGCTCACATATTCTTGTTGCTATGCTTGGAGGTGTTGCTATGCTTGGAGTGACTCAGATGCTGCTCAGTACCAGGCATAGATTTTAGGAGAAAGAGAGACTTAAATCTCGCTTGTGGTCCAGATCTGCTTCCAGAGGACAAGCCCAGAGCTTGAGGAGTTACAGGACAGTTGTACACAACAGAGGCAAGAAATGCCATTCTACCAATAACTTTCATGTGTTCTTCCTCATGTTGGGATGAGCTTCAGCAGTATATTTGTGTGTGAAAAGGGCTGAGGGAGGAGAGGAAGTTACAACCAGGTTCTGTTCCAGTAGAACGGAGAGGACAGAACTAATTCTATGTCTTATATTCATAAGAAGATAGATTTTCATGCAATTTTAAAGTTTCTCCAACGTGGGTTCCGAGGAAATGGGCCTGTAGACACCAACAAAGGGCTGATGGTACTTGGTGGTTTTGGTGTTTCGTCTTTAGAAAGCAGAATTACTTTCTCCAAAACTGGCTAGCATGGCTGGGTCCTCTATAGTCATTTGTCTTTCAGACATTCACATTGTCACTCTGTAGTCTTCACTCTTTTAGTTCCTATATAACCTAATTGTAAGAAAGGAACAATTGCACATCTTTTGACAGCACTTAGAGGCTGAGGCAGGAAGGCCATGAGGTTGAGCCCACTTTGGGCTGTAATGAGACCCTATAAAACAAACAACACACACCCCAAAATAAAACCAACTAACCAAAAGTATAACTAACAGAATTTCTTTGATGTTAAAAATGTAACTTAACTGAAAACATACTCTACTATTTTTATAAAAATTTATAGTTATATTTAATTAACAAATAATTTATATTTATGAATAATGGTGTGATGTCTCATCTGTGCATACAAAACAAAAACTTTGATAAAATAAATGAACATAATATATATCTTCCTACCAAATCACATTTATTGTATGTGATAAGAATTTAAAAAATAGACTTTAGTAGTTTTGAGGAGCATGCTATTTGTAGCTATAGCCCTAGGCAGTGAAGCTGATGACTCATACTCTCAGCCTGAATGAAGATTCACTGTAGCCTTGCTTTAACATTGTCTTTATCCTCCCTTTGCTGGGCCCACTCCTATCATCTCTAGCCTCCATGAGTGAGATTGATGACTATCTTATATGCCATCCTAGAGCCTCCATCCAGTAGCTGATGGAAGCAGAAACAGACACCACAGCTAAACACTGAGCCAAACTCCTGGAATCCAGTTGCAGAGAGGGAGGAGTGATGAGCAAAGGGGTCAAGACAAGGCTGGAGAAACCCACAGAAACTGCTGACCTGCACAAGAGGGAGCTCATGAACTCCAGTCTGATAGCTGGGAAACCAGCATAGGACCAACCCAGACTCCCTGAATGTGGTGTTAGTTGGGAGGACTGAGCAGTCTATGGGGCTTCTGGTAGTGGATCAGTATTTATCTCTAGTATAAGAATGGACTTTGGGAGCCCAATCTACACAGACACACGAGGGAGGGTCTAGGCCCTACTCCAAATGATATGGCAGACTTTGAAGACTTCACGTGGAAATCCTCACTCCCTAGGGAGAAGGAGATGGGATGGGGGTTGGTCGGGAGATCAGGGGAGGGCAGGAGGGTTCGGGAACTGGGATTGACATGCAAAACAAGCTTGTTTCAAGTTTAAATAAAATAAAAAAATTATTTAAAAATAAGGCACAATAAAAAATATTGCTAAGAAAAGTGTAAAATACTAACAAGTTGTAAAGAGCTGACTACCAGACAAAAGGAGTGAAGTACAGGAACCAATGACAAAGAGATAATGTTAACAAGCTCTCTAAAGAATTCTGGAAGCAAAGTATTTCCATTCTCTACTCCCGTGAGTCATGTTACACTATTCTTTTAATATAAATTTTCTTTAAGAAAAATCTGCATTGTTTTTTATTTTGTTGTAAGGAAGCATACATATCAACAATGATTCATGCTTAAATAAAATATGGATTGAACAAACAACAAATACTGTCTAATGTTGAAGAATTTTTGGTATCATGTGATAGAGCTTATACTATTAAGACAAGAAGAAAAACAGGAAGTACCCTACTATGTGAGCTGAAATGCAAAGGATGTGTGCCACATTGCTCAAAAGTACCATTTCTTGGTGTCAGGATTTAATTTCACTAACATCCCTCATATTTATATTTTCAGGCAAATCTATTATCATCATCTTCTACAGCCTCTGAGAGTCAACTGGTATGTATCTTGTTCTAGGGTATATAACTCTTTTGAATTTTCTTATTTCTCAAGATAACTTCAGCTGAAAGAAAGTTAAGGGATAATATGTTTGCTCACTTATCTAACAAAATTTATTGATGTTTTAGTAAAGCCACAAGATGGCTGATTTTTAGTCAACTAATACATAAAATTTATAGACCAAACTACCCCTAACTCTGAGCAGTGATGTTGCAAGAGATTGAACTGAGTAAGAAGAAAATGTGATTTGATTTTACAAAGGAGATCACTTCTTAATGAGAATGTTCAAAAAATACTTCAAGGAGATCAAAACAGATAAAATGTGTAGCTTCTAGATATGTGGGAATGAAGGAGACTATCTCCTTTGTAAATTCAACAGGACAACCAGAATCTTAAGTAATACACTACCCAAACCCTCCAGGATAGAAGCAATGCTTGCAGACACAGTGAGTGAAGTGGTAACCATTGAAACAAACATTGCAGTTACAGTATAAAGTTGACAAGTTCCCACTTTAGATCAGGAAATATTACAGTGCTTTTAAGTTTTAAAATAATTTCATTTGTTTCGTGAGAAGCAATGTTTGGAAGTCAACAGTGGTTTGACCATGCTCATGTGGAAATTCATTCACCCTAGTATACAAAAGATATATTTTAGGTGTTGATTGATAAAAAGCATGCTTAGGGATTTGTAAGCTATACACATGGTATTAAAATTCAATTTCAAAGGAATACACATTTAAGTATCAGTTTCATAAAATGAGGTATAGTATGGACAAGTTATAAATAAAATAAACCCACTTTATCTATCAAAGTATCCTGCATTTCTGTGTTTATGTTCCCTAAAAGAAATGAAAAACATTGCTTTGACTTAGTGAAGATGTTTTTGCATTTAATTTAGACCAGTTTTTCAAGGAGTCCAAAGCATGTCTTAACTAAGTTTTAATTTGTGATTTCTTCTGAGGTATAGGTGCTTTTATGATAATTTTATCAAGCATATCATAATAGTATTGGAATGACATAATCATTCAGTCAAATCACTTTGATTTCACCTTATGACATTTATCCTATATTTAAGATTTCCCCAAACAGAGTAAACCAAAAAAGAAATATATACACATAGTATCTTATTTTTAGTGACATTGTTTCTGATTGTTAATTTTTCATTTTAATAAAAATGTTACCATCATATTTCATGATCAACATTCTTGGGATTCAGTGCAGAAAATGGGAGTATATAGGCACAATTTTGAAAACTGAAATTACTATATATATATATATATATATATATGTGTGTGTGTGTGTGTGTGTGTATGTATGTATTGAGGATATAACAGATCAATTGCATATATATATATATGTCTATATGTGTATACATGTATTGTGTCTATCCATAATAATTCTTACAAAATGATATATATTAGAGTTAAATTATATAAATAAATCTATCACATAGGAATACAATAAGCAGTTATTGTGACAATTACTTGACTCACCTATAGGACAGAAATATTGTAAGATTATTTAAGTGAAAATATGTGACAAATTGTCATATTGACACAAGTTTAATATCAATCACAAGTGTAGAGATCTGACTTTTGAACGATGAAGTAATTTCATGCTGTAAAATTTTCAAGCTGGCCCATCTACTTACTTGTTGTCATTACAAGTATGCATCTCTAAAAGTCATGAGTTGAACTCTTAAAATATTTGCATTCTGGATTTCGGGTCTAGCTCAATGGTGATGTACTTGTCTAGCATCCACAAGACTCATGTCCATTCCACAGTGCTTCAAAACACAAACTCTGTGTGTGTGTGTGTGTGTGTGTGTGTGTGTGTGTGTGTGTGTTTATGTGTGTTTTCATTGCTTTTTTCTAGGGGCCAAATAATGTAATATTGAACTTGAGAAACTATGTTGGGGACTCTTATGAGACTCACCCACAATATTAGCTTCTCCTCTACTAACCACCAGCACAATAGTTAACAACTGGGAAGGAATCTCCCATTCTAAGTGGAGGTTGGAATAAGTACTGTGCCAGCCTGAAGGGATTTTTTTTTATGAGATTCATATAGCAGCACAAGCTATTTTCAGAATGGTCCTGTAGAAAATGAAGATATTATTATTATACTCCAAAGCCCTAGATTATCAAAAGATATGAGAATCCATTTTTACAGGCAGTGAAGTGGAAGCTGCAAGAGTTTAATTAGATCATCTAAGATCATAGCATTAATGTTTATCCTTGTTCCTTGTGTGGTTTTCAAAGGGAATCATTGTTACTGATTTTTAGCAGTTCAGGAGGCTTAAGAAACCTCTGTTGAGTGAATTGGGAAATAGGTCTGTAGAGAGCTGTTATCTCCATTGACCACCTCCATGGTCTGGCTCATCCTGAAATTTTGCATTGTCTGTTAAATATGATGACTTAATGAAGAGGTGCAGACAGGGTAAGTGCAGATGGAGTAGGGGGAACAGGGCCACTGCAGCAAACTAGTTAGTGCTTCCTGTGGCACATCAAAAGGAACAAGAATTGGAAAATGCTGGCTGTCAGTTTGAAGCTTTGACGAAGCTCTCCTAATTCTGGAACTGGGCCATCTCAGTATTAACTAAGACGGCTTTGTCCTTGTTTCTCTGCTTGGGAAACAGTTGAGTTTGGACAAGATGGGTAAGATCTGTTGATTTGTTTGTTTACTTTTATTTCTTGAGGTGAGCTGGGTTAGATGACAGCTGGTTCATTTGCTTCTGTAATTCTATGCCATTGCAAAGCATCCAGTGTTGTTCAGGATGGGCTGCTGAATGTGCAGTGGAGACCAAAAGAGGTTTAGGAAATAAGGCACATGGCCCCATAGAAGTAAAAGCAAAGGCAACTTACTGGAACAGAATAAAGAAGAACTTTAAGCAGGGGGTTACTTTGTCTCTGGTTCTGAGTGCCAGCTGCTGTGCCTTGCTTTACTGGGCATGACTCAGCTTTCTGAGGGCCCTTAAGTCTCTGTTGTTTAGAAAGGCTTTTGTGTAGAACTGATGTCTTCTTTGAGCTCAAAGGCAGTTTCTCCTTGACCAGTTTTCCTTGACACAGCATACTTAGGAGGTACAACATTCATCATGTACGCCTCCTGAGCTGTGACTCATGCTATTGTCTTTTCATTTCCAACAAAATAGTTCAATCTGTATTGTGTATGTTCCACAAAACAGTCCTTAAGCCACAGGATGCGCTTTATAATTATTGAAGCCCTGTGTTTAGTTTTATATGGCGGGTTATGGTGATTATAAAACTTTAAAAAAAACCCATTAAGTAGTTATCCTTATGATTTGTCTAGGTTATTTACAGTTGACATTGTGTATAAATTCAAAATTCTTTTATTTTTTCTTTATAAAATTCTGTCATGCTTCTTATCCCATTAGACCCCCATAATCACCTTGTGCCATCCCAGTGGTCTCATAGAATAAAAATGAACTGCTTTACATTAGGTTTATCATATTCTAGAAGATTTTGAGATCTGAGGTATTTATTTGAAGGGAAAATGGGCATAAGTATTAGACTCAAGTATATAATATTGCTAATGGACCAGAGTCAGGTACCATTCACTGATTCAATGAATGAATTGTTACATAAATAAATTAGATAATGCTTCTTTTATCTATAATTTTATATTGTAGATAATTTTGGATTCTTACAAGATTTTTTGCAACAAAGTTTCTAAAGGAACAAATCAACTTCTGAATGTTGAAAAGACAGAAGCAAACAGAAACAAATAGCAATCAGGTCACTAAAATGTTTTGATCCATCAAGTCAGTTGAGGTTTTAGCAGGTTCACAGTATTTGCTATGTTCTACACTATTCCTTTTTGCTGTTGTGAGGAGATTATGATTCGAAAACATGAGATAATAGACTTGAAAACTGGTTCCTGTTTATGTTTCTTTCCCCATCATATCACTGTATAATTTATTATTGTAGCTACAGACAACCTATCATCTTATTTGTTGAAATTACTAATTTAGGAAAGATTTTGCTCTAAGAAGCCATCATTTTAAAATGTTGGCAACAAATTTGCTAGGTCATTGCTAGCAGTAAATCTCCAGCATTGGTCTATAGCCAGAGGTAGTATCAACTTGCTGTCACAAAATTATGATTAAGTTCTTAAGGCTGAAGAAAATCCAATTTTATGTGCTCTAATAACTGTTCAAGTAAAAATTTACATGTGATAGATTGTAAACACAAATAAATAGCAGCCTTAGATTAATGTCTTTCAGCAAACCCCAACCCCCAAATAATCATGATAGGGAAAACCCATAACTATTCTTTCTATCTCTCTGGCCTGAAGCTCACTAATTAGGCTAAACTGATTGGACAGCAAGCTCCAGGGATCCTCCTGTCTCCACATCCTTTAACTTGGATTATAAGTGTGTAGGCAATGATAATGACAATTTCATGTGGGTTTTGGAGAGTCAATTTCAGGTCTTCTGAGATCTCTGTCCTCATGGAGCTTGTGTTGTAGTAGATAGAGCCCAATAACAAACACATATGCAAATGTATGATGGTGGCACATGTTACATGCAGGGTGGTGGGTGGTAGAGATGAACATTTTGTATGCATGATCAGGAAACATTGATCTGGTAATGTTTGAGCATCTACTTGAAATGAAACCCACATATACTACAGAGTAAGTGAAAACTCCTGGAGGAGGTTCACAGTGTGGGGAGTTCCAACAGGGAGCCTGAGTGGATGTACAGGTATGAGAGGTATAGCAGCAGAAGACAAGATAGAAAGGGAGAAGCTAGTTGAATACAGGGATGATCAAGCATTGCAGAGATCTTTGCAATGAGAATGGCAAAGGTACCTTTGAAAGATCAGTTGACATGATTTGATATGGAACTGAGTGGCATTATTCGGAAGTTGAGCGACATGATGTGATTTATACTATAGTACTTGGTGGATTGCTTGACTACATTGTCGATCCTCAGTTATGAGTTGTATCCATGGCCATAGACAACTACAGTTTTCGTAGAGGTCTCATTTGATAGAATAGGCCCTAATAGCCACTGATAGATGTGTTTTCAGAGTTTCTCAGTCCTCTCAATCACATCAGCTAATTCTCCATCTGGAGAATCTCTTCTTCCCATGTTCTGGGTATTAACTGTGTGAAAAGGTCCTTTCAATTTTTCCACTTATTCCAGACACAAATTTACAGAATCTCAGTTTCTGATGTAACTGTAGCAACATGTGTGTCTGTCTGTCTAGTCTGGTTATTCTATGGGGTCTACAAGTGACGAGAGGCCTTCTGTGGATGGATTAAGTTGTTGGACACTGACAGTTTTATAGTAACTCACTTTTTATGAACTCTTCTAATGTGATTCATCTAATTTTCTTCATATTTGTTTACACACAGACTTAGCAAATTAGATTTACAAAAATGAAGGAAATCCTTCAAGAGAACTCTTGCTTGATGTTTAACGATAATGGATTACTTCAAACAAAGTGAAAACAGAGATGGGAAATGTGTAAAGCATGGCCTGCTCTTCTTCTATGGGAGACATTATAAACAAATGTGTCTGGAATGGCGAAGCTAGCCCCAGCTGAGAAACTCATTTGAGAAGCTCTGGTCTAATGTCGCATAGCTTGTATTTTGCACACACATTATCTAGGGACCTTTTAGTGTCCTGCAGTTCATATGTCAAGGATGGCTCTAAGGTCAGTCAGTCCCCTGTGATAGGTTCTCAGGTGATGCTTGTCTATGGGCTGAAGGGTGAGATGTCCTTTGTATACTGTGAATATGTTTCTCATATTGGTTGATGAATAAAAATATCTTGGCTAATGGACAGGCAAGATGTAGCCAGACAGGATGTATAGGCAGGGTTACCAACTAGGAGAATTCTGGGAAGAGGAACACAGAGAGTCTCCAGAGAGATGCCATAGAGCTACTAGGAAGATATGACTCCCAGGCATTCTCCAGTAAACCAAGACCACGTGGAGATAGATATATAGATTAATAAAAATGGGTTAATAATTAAGATGGAGATAGCCAATAAGCCTGAGCCATTGGGCAAACATTTTGTAATTAATATAAGCCACTGAGTGTTTATTTGGGTTTAAATGGCTATGGGACCAGGTGGAACAGAAACTTCCATCTATAATGGGCCCTATTCTGAGTGGCAAGGCATTAGGAGACTTCTTGGGTGGAACTATTAGTTTACTCTCTGCTGTAATTTCAGGTTGAGAAAATATCATCAAATGATGATATGACATAAACAATATATTAGAGAGAATAGAAAGAAAGCCATTGTGGAAGAGCCTCTGAGTGCCCACATTAGCTCTTGATGAATCACATATTTTACAGGCTTTCCAAAGTACACACTGAAACCACACGTGGATGATGATGGATTTGAGTACATTGAAATAAAGCTGATGTGGTGATATGGGGTGTCATTCCTGAAGAGACAGGGATGTTAGGAATATAAGGTGGCACTACACATTATGAAAGGACACAGCTAAGGATCAGAATTATAACACTTCAGGTGGCTTGTTATATCAAATGACTTTTCCAAGAATATAGTCTGATACCTGCATTTCAGAAATGTATGTTCTGATACCATCATCCTGCTATCATGCTTTGGGAATGGATTGTTAATCAAATCTAGAGAGTCAAAATTTTTGACTCATTGAGAGGTGGATAAAAGTGTGTGTGTCTGTGTGTGTCTTTGTGTCTCTCTGTATGTGTATAGAAAGAGGAGAGTGCATATATATGTACATATGTACACACACACACAAGAACTGGAAAACATGGGGTTTCATAATATTCCAGGAATATTTAGAAGATCTAGTGAGTTAAAAGGAAAATTACATAGAACAATTCAATGATGGTTCAAAAGCAGGTGGGTAGCATAAATGAAGAGACTAAATAAATTTTAGTTTGAAGTTATGGGGAAGCAGGTGTTTTAAAATGACCAAGTTTCTCTCTCCTGTTCTCTCTGCCTCCAAGGAACAGGGTCAATGAAAATTACAAACTTGATCATTGGACCATCTCACCCAGATTTAGATCTTGGCTCACATATTAACTGACTTTCTGTCTTAAAAGTTCTTACAGTGTTTGTGGAAAATCAGTGCATAACCCTAGTGCTCCCATGTAGATGCTCAATGGATTCACGGTGTCTAGAAGAATGAGGTATTCTTTAGCTCCCAAAATGGCCCACAGGGCTTTGAATCTGGCTGTGGCATGTGTAGAACAAGAACAGGAGGCCTGAGGCCACCTTCAATTTGATTTGTTGTGTACAATGACTAGAGTTTTAAACTGACCAATAGTGAGAGAGGTTGGAAGCTATGATAAAGCTACGATGGGGAACATGAACACTATCAAAGACAATCTCTGCCTGTTTTCCTGGTTTGCACTCATGGCTATGAAATATTGATAATTATACCAATCATGGCACAGAAGCAAAATTAAAAACAAAGAAAGTGGCAATTCACAATTTAAGACAGAGCAATCTGTCTGTGAAAACCAAGTTAGCAATGAGGAATGAGAATGACTCAAATATTTCAGATAGACAAAGTCTGAGATTCGGTTTTTAATAATAATGAAAAGTGGAGAAACTTACAGCACAGAGGAAACAGGAAATACGGCTCAGCAATCATCTAGATGTTAGAAGGCACACAGAAAGTAAAGAACAGAAAGTTGGGTGGAGGAGCAATATGAGGCAACTGACTGTGATACCAAATGTATTGCACTTAAGATTTTACACCTTGCTAAGTTTCCTTCCTTTTTTTCTAATTTTTCATTATTTAAAAATTTTAGTTTATCTTTCTTTCTCTCTCTGTCTCTCTGTCTCTGTCTCTGTCTCTGTCTCTCTCTCTCTCTCTCTGTGTGTGTGTGTGTGTGTGTGTGTGTTTGTGCATTACTGCAGAGAATAGAGGACAGCTGATGTTCGCCAGTTGTTAACGTCTATCATGTGTTTTGGGGGTTGAATTCAAGTTGTCTGGCTAAACAGTAACCCATTTTACTCTCTGACCCATCTCACTGGACACAGACAGTCTCTTTTCTGAACTCATCCTTGAAGGAGCTTACAAGTCAGATGGGCTCTCTGCCAATGTAACTCAAAGCATTTGCTTGCAATACAGGAGACAGCTGTGTTTCTCTGGCATGGAGATTCTCTACCCTATCAAATTCTGCTAGCAGAGTTCCCCTCTCTGTAGGCTGACACCTTGCTTATAGTCCTGAAGTTCCAGGTTGGTGTGAGTACCTGAAAGGTTGCTTTGATTCCCTGTATTGATTTTATGAAGAAAGTATAGGGATAGGAGAAGAAGCATCCTATGGAAGGGCATCCTATGGAAAGGAAGGACATGCATACAGCACAGTGTCATGGTCCTGCCATCAGGCAGTAGAATTGGAGATTGCCTGAGTGGTGCTCTTATGCTGTTCGCTTGAGGAATACTGTTCTCACACTTGTTAAATAACTGGACACTTTGGGCTCATGTTTTCTCTCTCTGGAGATAGATCAGCTTCTTAAATCAGAGCTATTTTTCAGCTTGGAGAAGGAAAACATTTTCGCAGTCTGTAGTTTCCCACTTGGAGAATACACGGAAAACAACTAGGGAAATAGCATCTGTAAAAAAAGTATTAGAAAGCAACATTTACTCAAGACTCAAAATACATCAAGTGCTTCATGGAACAGAGAGATATACGTAGACTCTTAAGGCTTAGCTTGGGAACACCAGGTTTGACTAGGCAGGGCTAATTTACAGTTTTCCAGTAGGGCTGGGGTTGAGAAGAATGATAGCAGAGAAACGCTCAAACAAAGACTGGCACAATTACTTTTTATTGGATTTTTACTTGGCATGGTTTCAAAACATATCAATCATTCTGTGATATTTGACAGTGTGACAAGATTTTACATTTTGTGAAACATTTAGAAAAAAAATTGCCCCAAGTGAAAGAAACCTCCTCTCTTATTGTCATTGACTACAATTTTATGAGTTCCCAGTGACTGATATGTTAGTTAAGGCTCTTCTGATACAAAGTCCATCAGATGGAACCTAGCGTACAAGGAGAGAACCTAGGGAACAAAAGGACAGGAAGCTCAGCTGCCTCATGAATTTCCTTTTTGGAATTCACTCTCATGGCTTTCCTCTTTGGATTGTGTCTTCACAAACTTTCTCCATTTCAGTAGTCTGTCCTTTTAAGTTAAATTAGGTCACGTTATAGCTCCCGCATTGACATAAAATAATTGCAGGTAACAGATGTCTCTATCACATTATTTTTTCCAGCTAGACCTTGTTCAGCCTTATATAATATAAGTATGGCTTAAACATAATATGGGTGGACTTTCCAAGGTCCTTGATCCCTATATATTGAATGTTGCAGAACAGGCACGCAAAAAGCCTTTATCAAAGGAAGGAAAGAGGAACATGTTTGGTGTGGTTTTACAATTTTATCATGATAGGAGATCTTTATGATTTAGTTGCTACCATAATCAATGGACTAATTGATTATAATTGGTTAACAATTATGTTGGTATTTAAGTTTAGTTACATTGGTAAAACAATCTAATTTCTAAGCTGTTTTATTCATTATTTTAAATTACTTCACATTTCATAAGAAAAATTTTGTGAGAGCATTTGGTAACAACAATAATTATATTTACTCATTTTAATAGTGTTTCCCCCCCCCCTCTATTTAAAAAACATTTCTCCTTCATGAAGACTAAGCCTGGAGTAATTCGCCCAGTACCTGTAAAATCCAAACTATTACTGAGAAAGGAGGAAGAAGTTTATGAACCTAATCCCTTCAGTAAATACCTTGAAGACAACAGTGGCCTATTTTCTGATCAGGTGAGTATACACATAAGAAAGTATTTTGTATTACAATGTGTGCCTGTATAAAGGATTAATCACATATGGGCAAGGAAATATATTTAAGAGGTTTTATCCCTGATAATTGAAAATATCATTTTGTATACAAATAGAGATTCTTTGTTATTAAAGGGTGGTATTTTGAAGCATCTCATTTTTTTTTCTAAAAGAAAACACTATCTTCTACCAAGTGAAGGTACTGTGTGGGAACCTACACAATTCATCAAGAGACCTCAAGAGCATGTTGTTGATAGCCACATGGCACTGAATTATTATTTCGAGACAGCTTACCTTTGAGACTATATGATATTTCAGCTTTGCTAGACCTGACAAAAATCCCATTGTCCATATTCATATTAATAAAGTAGGTTTGAGGAGCGATGCAATTCTTCTAGCTAGAGAGCACTAATTACTTTGTAGGGCTCAAATCATTTCACTGCTGTTTATACAGAGTAAATACTCTGTTTGCATTATATGTACCATATGCTGGAGAAGGATGAAAGGAAAACTGTCAGTGGGGACTTTCTATAATAATGGAAAACCTGGCAATACACATACACATAATATAAAACTCCAGGTCCTAAAGATGGTTCATTAAGAGCACTCATTGCTGCTGCTGAGGACCCGGGTTCAGTTTCTAGCAACCACAAGGTGCTGACGACTATCTGAAACCATATTTCTGGAGATCAAATGTTTCCCATGGCTTCCTTGAGTACTGCACACACACAGTGCGCTTACATGATGCAGGACAAACACTCCTGTATATAAAGTAAAAGTAAATTAAATCCTTAAAAATCTATATAAAACTTCATTTTGCCACCAAAGAGGACTTGTACATCTCTGTTTGTTTTATGAAATACAACAAATAGGCACAGGCTGTACATTTTTTAATCTTAAACATTAAGTGTATAAACAATGAAAATTAAATGCTGGACTCAATCATCATATTTTATAATCTGCAATGAATAGGTTTATAAAAGAACATAAATATAATATCACCTTTAATATTTAATTTAAAAGTGACAGCCAGTAAGATACTTAAAATGGTAAATTACATTTTATATTTGTTTATAAGGAATGTTTCACATGCCATGTGTGAGCTCCATGACCCTGGAAAGATTGTTTTCCTCTAGCTTCAGTTTCTTCATATGTAATCTATGAGGATCAACTCCTTTAATGGATCTTTAAACTGCAAGATTTGTGCTAGTTTTAGTGATTGATTAACCCTGAATGGCTCTTAAGTCTTTCTGTAGCCTTGAAAAGAGTCATCATATATGTTTTCTCATGGGAAACCATTGATTTCCCTTATATAATGCGGTGGAGACAGCCGAAGACTGTCTAGCTGAGAGGCTGAGGTGGTAGGACCTCCTGATGCATGAGTTCAAGGCCAGACTGGATTGCACAGCGAGGTTTCATAGTAAAACATTTCCCAGTTACTTTTGTTCACCCTGTGAAACTTATAAAGAGGTATAGAGACAGTTTATTTTCATTTTGGGGAATAAACTTTTTGGTATGTAATTTATCATGGTTAATGCTATACTGTGCAGAAATAGACATTTCTGTTAGGAAACCAGATTTTTTTTTGTCAATAAAAGCACATATAAAATACCTATTGTTTGTTCAACACTAATATTTTTGAAGATTAATGTGATTTTTTGGATTAGGAATTCATTGTAGAAAGGTCATTAGAATATAATGTAGTATTTATACAGAAATGGACTACAGTTGTTAAACTTCACATATTATAATCCAGGCAAAATGTTTCTCAGTATTTGAACAACTGCTCTAAAATAAAGTTCTTTACTTTTTATATAATCTTAAAAGAATTTTTCTTCAAGAAAGCTCCCTTGTAGCATATCATATTAATTTGTTTGTAATTTATCACCCTCATTGTCTTGTGGAATGGTGAATTCCATTTATAGTTCAGGAGATTCTTGTCACTAAAAAGAATTGCCATTTTCTTTTTTCATCATTATCTTGTGGTTATACAAGTCTAAAGTTTTGTTTTTGTTATAACTTAGACCTGAGTATTTCCAGATAATTGGATGAAATTGTCTGTTTTTCAAATATTTGTGTGCTACAGGCATAATTGTGTTCATATGATCTTTAATTAATTCTCTCATATATCCTTATTTGAGGGCAGGACATCTGACCTAATAGGATACCACAGTATGTTAAGAATTGAAAGAAATCTAGCATGTGAATTTCACAGCTCCTCTGGCTTTATTTGTTGGCTGTAAGGAATTCTGGGGCCACTGCACAGCCAGGAAAGGCACATTTGTTCAGCTGTTTTCTATATGTTGAGCACTATTTATAATCCTTTGGGTCTAGAATCTACAGTGAAGCACATTGCAAAGTTGGCTCATAAATGTACAGTTAGGTCCACTTAAAAAAAAAATCACTGAGTATCAATGACTCAGTGTGCTGGTATTGCTACCTCACTGGGACTTCATCTGAAGACCTTCACGTTCAGCTCCACTCACTCTTGCTCTCTCTCAATCTGCCATAGAACAAATTGAATGTTTCCAAACTTGGTTAATCTCATTCGCCCATGTAATAGAAAATTCCTTAGGCAGGCAGCCGGCCAAATTGAAGCAGCTCACACCCACTAATCTCTCTTGTACCGGGGGCAGTTCCACATGACAGGAGGTGTTGGATGGGATGGTTAAGTTCATAAATTTTCCATAGCAGGTTCACTGCCATAAAATATGATTTCAAAATGCTGCTACAGAGTGTCAGATGCTAAGGATGATGGGACTAAGCAGAGATGTATTTATCGTAGCTCAAATGATACAGCCAGGCAGGCTATTGAACAGATTAGGGGCTGAAAAATTGTCTGGAAATAGCCTCTCAAGGCTAAAAGCAAAGTTTGAGACTAATGCAAAATCTAGTAATTGAGACTTTTTATTTAATGGTTTTTACATCAAAATGTCCTAGGGCAGACAACAAAACAACAACAAAAGCCAGAACTCTGTTGAAGGAAGCTTATGTTTTTCTGAAATTGACTCCAAGTCTATTATTGTATCAATTTATGGTCCTTTTAAATTATTTCAAAACATCTTCACATTCTACCCTAAATATATGGATTTACATGGACTTACAATGATGACCATGCATTTTGAAGAATGCCTCTACTGATAACTAAAGGCACAGCTAGAAATAATTACTGGAATTGATTGGGTTAGTGAGCATGCCTGGGGTGAAGAGATCTGAGACAGAATGGTGTTAAGTTTGTTTTGATGATTTGTGGCCTTGCAAAATAAATTGCATACTGATTATAAAACCAATCTACTTAGATAAAGGTAAGTTCTCCACCAAATATTTTCATTTTAATATAAAAAATAGCTTGATTCATTTTACAATGCAACATGTAAAATATTTTTTCTCTATGTTAATAATGCAGTTCCTGACATTATACATGTTATTCCCAAGGCAAAGCCTTAGAGAGTCAAGCTTGAAGGTTTGGACCAAAAAAGAGTGAGACTCCTATTTTTTTGACTTGACTTCTCCAGAGACACATTCTTTTCTTTATGAGAAAGGGTGTTCCCTAGTATGTATGCCCTTCCCATCTCATTTTTTTCTGATGTGTTTCAATAGAGAAGAGGGTATATTTTGGTTAAAATGAGAGTTTTGAACAGAGGCTCTCAACCTGTCAGCCACAACCCCTTTAGGGTTGACTGATACTTCCCAGGGTTCTTGTATCATATTTACACTGAGTCATAACAGCAGCAAAATTACAGTTATGAACTAGCAATGAAAATAATTTTATGGTGAGTGTTACCACAGCATGAGGAACCTGTATTAAAGGGTCACAGCATTTAGGAAGGGTGGAAGATATTTTTCCTTAGCACTTACAGAGACAAAAAGTATCATCATGGGGAAATTTCCTCTTTGTATTCTTCTCATTCTCCTTTTTGCCCCTGATATTTTTAAACATTCAACTTTTCTCCATTCCTCATTTCTCTCTGTTTGATATTCCAGTTTGATGATGATGTGAACAACCTTCAGGTTTCTATTTAATTATCCATCAAATTATATATTAACTGTGACCCCTAAATGCTCTTCCTGGTCCCACCCAGGTGAAATTACAGGCAAATATCTTTGTCACAGGTAAGGTGAACAATGCTTCCTTTTAAACAGAATGCCATAAATTACCACTTTTTCAAAAGTAATTTTCAGTCAGCATGGTTCAGTGTCTTCTGTCATAAACGACAGTCAAAGTGTGATGAAATTTGACTCATCAGGTCTTTTTTAGATTTAGAAATGGCTAAATGACTGGGACTGTTTTAAGGAGTGAGAAACAGAATCTTTTTTGTAGTGTTACATTCATTTTGGAAGGTTTAACTCATAGGATTTGGCTTTTCTCAAATTGTGCTGTATCTTTGCGAATGTTTCTTCTTCCCCCATCTTGCCTTCACTCCGTTTCTCTCTTAAATATATATATATATATATATATATATATATTTATATATGAAATAATTTATCATGAATATGCTGGTTAATAGACGTAGTAGATAATTTACCATAATGTAGCTAATTTGCTCACTTGTATTTTTTTTAAAAAACATGTCCCTTTGAAATAATAATATTTCTCCTCCAGATAAATTCAGATAAATTCATATAAATTCACTTCATATTTAAGCTTTCATTGCTCCATTTTGGCATTAAATTTCTCTTGGTGTTGTCTTCAATTGTAAAATCATAACTGAAGCATTGCAGTTTTTGTTTTCAGCATTTATGTTGCTCTCATAGAAAGTGCAATCTAGTTTTAAATAAGAGCCTTGTTGATATAGTTTTTCTAAATTTCATTTTGATTTTGTTCCTAAAAGTATTCAACAACAGAACTTCAAAACAGAAGATAGCTGTATTAAATGGATGCTATTCACAGGTTAGAGCAGTAGAGAAATTGCCTGGTCAATAGGGGAAGATGCATTCTTCCATGTCTCTTCACAGGAATCTGTGTGATAAAATGTCTCCTT